GCTGTGAGTGCAGGGGACAGGACTAGATGACCTCTCGAAGTCCCTTCCAGTCCTACGATTCAAGAATTCTATTTTTGAGTATCAGAAAAAAGGTCTTTAAAATACAGTCAGTTACAGAGACCGAGCCTTCCTTTGAAAGGATCCAGGAAACATGTAGGAGCATAATTTATCATATAAACACAACAGGAAAACACTGTTTGAAGTTTTTTGGAAATTTTCAACATGGAAAAATGTTTCCTGTTTTGAATTATGTTTCTCTATAGGGTGTCATGACCTTTCAAGTTTCCTCTTTATCAATTCAATTGACAGTTGTAAAATAAGAAAACACATCACAGATCACATCAGATTGAGTTCTATAATGGGTAAGTGATACTGGACAACTAGCAGCTCTGCTCAAAGCTTTCACAGCTCAGGTTGCAAGAAAACATAAGCGACTAACATTCAGAACAGAGCTCTTTTGGCCCCAGAGACTAAAAAAAGTGAAAGCTTGATTTATCAGACAAGTGCTGAACACCCAGACCCCATCTTCATTAGAGAAGTTTTCTAGATGTTTCCCTACTTTTGCTAACAATGGTGCCGCTCTATCACTTTTAGCAATGCTGAGAACCCTACTGATAAAAGGGCTGACAGCAGCCAGCTGACTGCTAGTAGGGGGTCTGTTAGACCTGCTCCGAGCAGGAGCACAGGACACATTAAGAATGCCAGTAACACACCATTTACAACAGGGCTCCTGACGCTGGTGAACTGGCGATGGCCCGAGTGGCACATTTTTAGAAAGTGGCTCTAGCGCAGACAGGGCTCCAGAGTGAATAATCAGCCCTGAGACAGTGTTTATAAAATGCCAGGCAGGGACTTGGACAGGAATTTAATGAGCAAGTATAACCATTAATATTTTCTAAGATCTGCATGGGAAAGGCAGACTGGGTGAGTCTCACAGTTTTACAAAGCTGCATAGGCCAGAGAGCTACTTTTCTAGAGTAGAACAAAAGCGTACACTTGCAAATTTAAACTCCAATGAGATGTTTTCCCCCTCACACCTAGGTACGCACATAGCTCCTATTAGCGTCACGTTATCCAGGCATGAGGAGGGGCAGATGACTGATCAAGAATACTGCTGAGATCACTCACCATAAAGTACTGTGCAAATTCAGAATATACGCAGGTTTATGCAGATAACATTCAGTATCTTTGGTAGTGGAATAAATTTGTTACATATTTGGAGGAAGTTTCAGAGAAAAGATGGGTTTCAGAGGAACAGCCGTGTTAGTCTGTATTCGCAAAAAGAAAAGGAGTACTTGCCACACAAACTTCCTCGTGGCTGGATTTTACTAAAACTAGACAAGCCATTTACAACGCACACTTTGCTTCTCTACAAAAGAAAAAGGACACTTATTAGTCTCTAAGGTGCCACAAGTACTCCTTTTCTTTTAGAGAAAAGATGGACCGTCAGACTGAGGAATCAAAAGAGCAAGAGCTACAAGCTGATAAAATAAGTGGCAACACGTCAAAACTAGATATTCATCTAAAAAAACACGTGAAGGAATTTCATTAAAATCTACTCCTAAATTAGAGGGAGGGGTGCAAAAGATAGCAAACACAGGACCACTTCTTCCTAAGGCTGGGTGCAATGGAATATTAGGAAACTGGAGACCAATAAATGTCACCCTCAGTGCCATATGCATTGGTTGAAACAATAATTCAAGAAAGTATCTGGGAAGAACATGATCTGAAAGGACAAATCAGAAAGGCTTCTGTGAAGGAAGTCCTGGCTCTCCTTTTTACTAGAATTATCTATTACTTTGCTGACGTTTGAAGAACAGCAGATAATTTGGACTTAGACAACGTTTCTCACTAGAGGGTACTAAGAAAACCAAGAAGTCACAGAGTGAAGTAAATTCTGTCATGGCTTATTAGAAACTGACTAAGGCAGAAAACAAGTAATATGGATAAGTGATCGATTTTCATCATGATAAAAGACCGACAGAGGGGTACCCAGAGAATCCACACCAGGAAGAGGGAGAGGAACAACAATTGGAAGCGACATTTTAGTTTAGTCAAGACTAAAGACTTTCAACTTCAGAGGGAACTAACACAGCGAGGTCCATGGTGATGTGCTCACCAGAAAAGCCTGAACAGGTGAGCAGACAGCAGGAGAGATGAGATTCAGTGTCGACTAATGCAAGGTAGTGCATACTAGAAGGAATCATCTGAACGAATCACACATACTGCTGGGTTCTAAACTGACTAGTTGTTCTGGAAAGAGAGGTGGGTGTCACTGACCAGCTCAGTATGCAGTAAAGAGCAACAAAAAAAGAAACAAGATGCTGGGACACAGAATAGAGTAAAACAGTGGTTCCCAAGCTGTGATCCACACCCCTAAGAGTAGCTACCACCTGCTTCTGCCCACCTAAGATCCAAAAGCAATTATCCCTAGGATGAGAGACAACTGACAGAGGAAGCTGTCAGCTGCCATCCTCCATTACAATATACTGGATGGAAATTTGGTATCCAAGCTTGTCATTAGGCCAAGGAGATACTGGACCACAGGAACCAGGAGACAAGGGCCAGGTGGTGGGAGCCAGGGATGCAGAAAGGAGGCAAGAGCTTGAGCAACAGGTGAGATCATAGAGCCTAAGAAGAGCCCGTGAATGGAGATGGGAGGTGAGGGGAAAGAAGGCCCCAGAGCAAAGGGAGGATTGGATGGGACATGAAGAGTCTATGGATATTAAAGAGACAATGGGAGAATAGGGAAAGAAGAGAACTTTGCTTTCCCAGAGCTGGAGAGATTGCTGTGTGGGACAATTATCACCTGCCCCCTTACAACGAATACCAATAGCTTCTTGAGAAATGTTGTAATTGCAAACTGAGGCAAAATCAAGAGGAGAGGTGGTTCAGACTGAAAAAAGCATGGGAACTCCTGCAATAGAAAATATTATAAATGCATTATTTAAGTCAACGGTACAGATTCACCTTCAATATGGTGTTTAGATCTGGTCGCCCTACCTCAGGAGGAGAGAGATGCCAGAATTTAGAAGGGATCTGGAAATGGAGGATACAAAGAATTAAGAGGAGAGAGACTGAACATTGGGTTTCAGAGTAGCAGCCGTGTTAGTCTGTATTCGCAAAAAGAAAAGGAGGACTTGTGGCACCTTAGAGACTAATAAATTTATTTGAGCATAAGCTTTCGTGAGCTACAGCTCACTTCATCGGAATGTTTAGAGATATGAAATGGAGCAAGATTAGCCAGCAGAATTCACTGCCTCTAGGTATCAAGGCCAAGAACTTAGCAGGATTCAAAGGAAGACATTTATATACTAAAGACTGTGGATGTTCTCATTAGCTATAGTTCTGTGGGGTTTTTTTTTAAACAAGAGATCCTGATGTTTTAGGACACAAGCCAACAACTGATTGATGAGATTAGGAAGATTCTCTAAGCATCCACTATGAAGTTTCATGAACAATCCCCTAAAGCATCTGTGCTGGCCTAGACGGGCCACTGGCATGTTCTGGTGTGGCAAGTCAGAAATGCATGTAGCTTCAACATGCAAGGTAAAGCCAATAACGTCCTACTGGCCACTATATCTGAGGGTTAATTGCCTGGAACTCATATGGGAAGTAGTCACAAGTCTAGCTGAACCATCTGGCTTTGTTTTACTCAAAGTGAGACTAACCCAGCAGCATTTTGAGTCAAAATCAAAGGCAGCAATCTGTAGTTTCTCTATTCAGAGCAGTTCTGCTCTATCAGCCCAGTGCTCAGGGTACTAACCTGGCACCTGGGTTCAATTTTCTGCTCCACCACACTTCCCATGTAACTGTGAGCAAGTCAGTCTCTCTGTGCCTCAGTTGCTCATCTGCAAAACGGGGACAGTGAAGCTTCCCCACCTCACAGGAGTGTTGTGAGGATAGAAGTACATTAAAGATCGTGATACTAAGTAGTGGGGGCCATATAGGTATTTAAGACAGACATGACATTTCACACTCACACCGTGCTTTATACATGTAATGGATATTAATGGAGAGCTCCCTGTGCCCATACTCTTGACGTTGAGGTGGTCAGACAACCCACAACTTCAAGTACAATATTATCCTATTCTTCCCCACCTGTCATTCTCCTACAAAAGAGAGTCTTTGGCTAAGACAACTTTCACAGGGATTATGTCCTCACCCCTTTCCTACAAGGTTGCCGAGTTACAGCTGCCATGAGGAAAGCAGAGGTACTCCTTATAATACTGTTATCTGCCTCTATATATACAGGCAGCAGTGCTAGAAAGGGAGACTGAATTGTGGTCACTGAAGGCCAACCATAGTCTTGCAAGAGAGCTTTTACCCCTGCAGAGGGGGAAATGGAAGGAAGGGGGTGGGGAGAAGCAGAAAGGTAAAGGCCCTATTGAACTCACTGCACTCTTCCAACCACACCTGTGCACAGAGTCACTGGGAGGAGGGAGGAGTTTCAAGCACTTCTGCTTCCACAGACAAGCAGAGCTCTGAAAGAGGACAGAACTCTGCCTCCATTCGAAATAGGCAGCCCTGCAGACTGGAATTCTCTCTCCTGGGGCTCTGAGGAAGTGCACTGACAGACTGAAGAATGCACAATCCCAGTGACGACAAATCAAGTGTGATGTTCTGACTGCTGAAATGCAGCCACTTCTGAGGTGGCAGCCAGCAAGGAGAAACCCCTCCACACAATTCCATCTTTTCAGTTTTGTTCAGCTGGAATGCAAGACTCCCACATATATTCTTAAATTTAAAATACTGTCATTACTTTCAACTACAATTCAACTGTTTTTGAAAATAAAAATTACAAACTATTACAACCACCTGACTTCAGAGCCATTTATTTGGAAACCAACATTACTGTATCTCCCCGTTCTTTATTAGAAAAGAATATTTGTACAAAAGAGAGGTGTGCTGGAGTGGCCTGTACATGGAGTTGACCAAATTAATGAATTCTGAATGTTTTCTCTAACCAGACTAAATTAACCTCACCATTTCTTTTTCAGGTCCTGAAACATACATTGACAGCCAGCTGCTACTTTCACAGGACATCTCAGCAATCATCACCAGTGAAGCCAGCTTACAGAAGTCAGCAATAAAATGGAAATTACGAGCACTCCCATAAGCCAATGCTTAAGCAGGAAGTCTTGGCAGCTGTGACAGACATACCGTTAAAGTGGAAAGCTGAGTTGGGCAGCTGGGATGGACATTGTGGGAGCTTTGTTAAGAGAGTGTGAGTTCATATACTGAGTGCCCCATAGGTCTGGTTAGTGGGGAACTCAGCACATAGTTAAAGTCTATTTGACTAGCGGCAATTCATTTGGATAATGATATTTGCAGGTGACTTTTGAGAGGTCATTTGCACCTAATGAAGTCAGAATCGCACTGCAACTATCACCATAGGTCACTAGAGATAAAGATGTCACCAATGCAGTATTGGTAGTCCTCATCCAGTGAACTGGTGCACAGGAATTCAGGCCTCCTTTTATGTTGTAAGTGCCTAACTAGTATTAATACACAGGATATTTCAGATAGAGGCAGTAACCCCTGCTTAAGCATACTGATGTAACATACAGAGATTATTTCACATAAAGGTGCCTATTTCTAATACATTAAGTACTCATGTGCTGTTGGGGCCACACACTTTCTCTCAGTAGAGGCTGCAAGACATTTCAAGGTTAGACCAACTAATTTTACAGTGCTTGTGGCAGCTTAATCTCCTCATTTAAACACAACAGTTAACCACCTCAGTTAAATGTGAGCGTTCAACCCACCTGCTCTGTATGGCCATGATTGAGGTTTTTCTTTATTTTTTCTCACTGGACGATGCAAGTTGTACAACACTGATCTTGTTTTTCAGGCAGGGACGCATAGTTCATTTGCCTGACGATCTCGGCAAACAGTTCATCCACCATGGTTTTACTCTTGGCCGACGTTTCCATGAATGGACAGCCCCACTCCTGAGCCAAAGCTCTGCCTTCTGCAGATAAGACCTCCCTCTCAGATTCCAGATCCACTTTATTCCCCACTAGGATTAGAGGAACTTTTTCATATCTCTTCACTCGGACAATCTGGTCCCTCATTGGCTTGATGTCCTGATTAAACAATCCAACTGGTTAATACACTTTTAGTACTAATCGTATTTTAAAATAGTAATCACAAATGATTGCTGTAAAAGTTAACACTGGTTCTAGGAAATAGCTCACTGCAAAAACAAGTGTTTTAACAAGCCCATAGATCTTATGTCTAACTGAAAACAAACATAACAGCTTATGAAAAATTCCTAAATGGATACCTTGGATTTAGACTAGGGTGTGTCTAAAATTCAGAAATTTATCCTCCATCTGTAATGCACATTCTTCAGGGCACATGGCACTTCCTGTGTGTTTAGAAAGTGCACTGCTGCAATGTAAAATTACCTCTCATTTCTCAGAAAACCTTTTGGTTAGGATTGGAGCTGGTCAGGAATTGACAAAACAGTTTTCCATTGGAAAATGCTGATTTGTCAAAACCAGAACTTGTTGAGAAGGTTTCTTAGGTCTAGGAAAGAATTTCCAGCCACACTAAGAATAGCCTGGTGGTTATGGCAATCACCATCCCAGGTGAACTCCCTAGGATGGGGGTAATTTTCTGTGCAGAGTTTCAAAAGGTCTCAGTTACATTCTGATGAAGAACCAGAAAAACTGAAAACTCAAACATTTTCATAGGCTGGGTGACCATTTTTCTTGCCCAGCTCTAGTTAAAATAAAGGCAGATTTTGTATAAATTAACTTAAAGTTTGGAACTGAACTAATTTTCTGGTCCTCAGCAGGATTTTCTACAAAAAGAGAAGTTCGCCTTTAAACTCATGACCGAAACTGAAGTCTACATTACGCATCTACGTTAAGTGATCACTTACACAGATGGGAAACTTGTGGCCAGCCTACTGCCTATGAAAGTTAATTAAATTTTTAACTCACTATCCTCTCCCGCATATTAGCGGCATGCTTAAAAGTGTTCACTGTGAACACACTTGGTTATGCCTAAATGACAAATTTAGATACAATAAAGACATGTTTTAATATTCTGTGAAACCCAATAATCCTGTAGTCTTCCCAAAAGTGAAAAAGGAAGAGACGTTTATATACCATACTCTTGAAAGTTTAGATCCACTTCCTCCACCACCTCAGATTTAAGATTTTAATTTGTTACAATAAATAAAGGTTTACAATTTCTTGCAGGGTTGTAGGAGAGACACAATTAAGTGCTTGAAGCTGCCACTGGTAATGGAACGTCACAGAGAGATTTACATCGACACTGTTCTGATTAAATGTGCTAAAGAAGAATGAAAACCAAGCAACTGAAGTGGCATATATTAATCCACTCTTAGATTTTTTTTCTTAACTACATGCCTCAATTCTTGAGGGAAAACCTCCCAACTCCTAGATGAGAGCTGATCATAGGCAGGAGAGAAACACCCCAGCATGAGGATTGTAGTTCCTTTGCAAGGGAAAAAAATCTCTAACTTGGATACAATTTATCTAGGTAGGTACCCTCATCTAAGATAATGTTCAGCCTTCAACTGAAACACTCTGCCTTAGTGGGGGTGTAAAAGGTTTTGCCAAGCCGCTGGACTACACCCAGCACAAGCAACCTAATTCAAGCCAACAAACAAGTTCCAAATCCCTGTTGCCAAGTCCAGTCATTTCCCACAGATACAAGCTGCTTATTACCAGAGGCAGTTTAGGCCAGTTACAGGTTGAGGGACTTTTTTGCTTCTTGTCAGTTTTTGCAATGCAAGTTTGTGGGTTGAATTTCATTTTCACATGTGACCTGTCCTTCCCATGAACACACCACCCACACAGTGCCAGCATCACGCTTACACTCGATGGCAGCTTGTTATATAGAGAGGGAAAAAAGGATCAGGGTTTATTAGCAAGATTCACAAGTTATAAGGTAGCAAGTTCAGTTCAGAAAACGGTCAACCTACCCGCCCTTATGAGAGTAACCGGCAAAATATTGCTTTTCAAAGAGCAGTGTTTAAAAGCACACCACAGGTCAAATCTAACCCCAAATTCGGGATTTACAGACATTTATTTTTAAAGATGACTGAAGACAAGTGCTTTATTTACCAGAGTCCAAGGGGAATAGTTTTGCAACCCGAGTATTGTAGCTTCCTGCTAGGGCTCGGTAGTTTTCCTCGTTTATACCGACAGCAAAAAGGTAACCAACCCCCCCCCCCCCCTTAACCTGCTTTTGATATGAATACTACAAGGCGGGGGATGGGCGGCAGGGGACGGACCACTTGTTCTGTTCACGCCTTCTGGGGCCCCGGCCACGGCGGGCAGGCAGCTCGCTGGGCCCGGGGGACCGCGCTGGACTCGGGGCCCGAGCGAGGGCCGAGGCGGGGGCCGGGGCCGGGGCCGGGGCCGGGCGGCGGGTTACCTGGAAGCTCTGCTGGTTGACCAGGCTGTAGACCAGGATGAAGCCCTGGCCGTTCTTGATGTAGAGGTCCCGCATGGAGGCGAACTGCTCGGTGCCGGCGGTGTCCAGGATCTCCAGCACGGAGGGGGACGAGTCCACCTCGATCTCCTTGCGGTAGAAGTCCTCGATGGTGGGGTCGTACTTCTCGATGAAGGTGCCCGTGACGAACTGCACGGTCAGGGCGGACTTGCCCACGCCGCCGCTGCCCAGCACCACCACCTTGTACTCCCTCATGGGGCCGGCGGGCCGGGCGCCCGGGCGGGGCGGGGCGGTCACTGGGCGGCCGGGGAGCGCATCGCCCCGCGGCCAGGGGCCCCGCTGCTGCTGCTGCTGCTGCTGCTGCCCCGGCCCGGAGGCCTCAGGCCGCGGCTAGGCCCGGCGCGGGGGGGAGGGGGGGAGGGGAGGAGAAAGTCGTTGGCGGCTGGCCCGGCCCGCGCCCCCCGGCCTCACTCCACGGCCCGGCCTGGGGCCGCCCGGAAGGGTTTCAGCGCGGCACCGGCGGGCTTGCGCGAGCGAGGGCCGCCCCCGCGCACTTCCGCACAGGCGAGCCGCGGTTCCGGGCTGAGAGACCCGGCCGGGGGGGGGGGACCGTGAACGCGGTGACACCGCCCCGCCCCCAGCCCGCCCGAGGGGGGGACCTTGAACGCGGTGACACCGCCCCGCCCCCAGCCCGCCCGAGGGGGGGGACCTTGAACGCGGTGACACCGCCCCGCCCCCACCCCCGCCCGAGGGGGGACCTTGAACGCGGTGACACCGCCCCGCCCCCACCCCGCCCGAGGGGGGACCCTCAATGCGGTGACACCGCCCCGCCCCCACCCCGCCCGAGGGGGGACCCTCAATGCGGTGACACCGCCCCGCCCCCACCCCGCCCGAGGGGGGACCCTCAATGCGGTGACACCGCCCCGCCCCCACCCCGCCCGAGGGGGGGACCCTCAACGCGGTGACACCGCGCCGCCCCCACCCCGCCCGAGGGGGGACCCTCAATGCGGTGACACCGCCCCGCCCCCACCCCGCCCGAGGGGGGACCCTCAACGTGGTGACACCGCCCCGCCCCCACCCCGCCCGAGGGGGGGACCCTCAACGCGGTGACACCGCCCCGCCCCCACACGCGTCCTCACGGGCATGGCGCCGCCCCTGCCCCAGGCTGGGAGGGCCCCGGGGCTCGGTGTGGATCGGGGTGAAGCGCCCCAGGGCTGCGGTTCAGTCCTCGCTGGTCCTTCCTCTCCCAGCGGCCGGGGGCTCCGTGGCACCAGCCGTCCCCGCGGCCTGCTCCCGGGCCGGCCCCGCCGCTGTGTCTGGCGGCGAGAGCGGCGAGCCCAGCCCCGCGCGCAGGCTGCGGGTAGCTCCCGTTTCCCTTCGAGCTCCGGCGGTCCCCGAAACCGGGTCTCGAAAGCCTGGCCCGCCGGCGCCTCAAAAGCTCCAGCTCCAAACTTCAGCTCAAAAGCAGCTGCCCTTCTTTTAAAATCCCCTTTAAACCAAACTGCGGGGGGGGGGACTCAGGCTTGTTGGACAAAACTCAGATTTTCCAGTTCATGAGAAATTCTGATTTTGCAAGAAGGATCAGGGGGTAGCCGTGTTGGGCTGTATCCACAAACACAACAAGGAGTCCGGTGGCATCTTAAAGACGAGCAGATTTATTTGGGCATAAGCTTTCGTGGGTAAAAAAACGGCTTCTTCAGATGCATAGTGCAACATTTCTTGCAAAGCAGAAATCCTGAAAACAATTCATCTTGCAAATACCAAGTTGGTGCTCCACAAAGGAATATGCTCCCCAGGACCCACCGCCGGGACTGAAGTTGACGTTATTGTCAGTTTCATGAGTAGCCATGAAACCACAAAACTATCCCATTCAGTCTGCTCCTGGAACTCCCAGAGTCTGTAGATCAGGAGTAGCCCTGGGGCTGAGGATCCTATGGTTTCCAGATTCCTGGGCCAGCTGGCCCCCAGGGCTGCCTGCTTGCGCACGGGTCAGCCCAGGAGTCTGGAGAGCTGGCAGGAGTCGTGGTGGGACTGCCCTGAAGCTGCAGAACCAGTCCCAGGACCTCCAACCTTTCAGCTCTGCAGCACACCGTCTGGAAGCTATGAGAGCCCCAGCTCAAATCAGGGTTCTCAAGGCTCCCTGCTGTAGAGCCGGGAGCCTAGATTTGAGAGCCCTGGGCGAAGCTGGGGTTGTCTGGGCTTCCAGCTGTGGATGGGGGAGCTGAGCACTGACTAGAGCCAGCAGGTCCCCCAGGGCTGCATGGCAGGGAGTCTGGAAACTGGCTGGAAGCCTTGGCATGGCAGTGCTGCCCTGGAGCTGCAGATCCTGCAAACTCAGGCTCACTGTCTGTGGAGCAGTCCACATGGCCTGGCTGACTTGGAGTTGTGGACCCTGGAAAGCCAGAGTCCCCAGCAACCTGCCAGGGGAACAGAACTGTTGGAAACCTGCCTCTGATTCAACAAAAGTTTGGTAAGCTGGACTCACTTTTGCAAGACATTTCAGGTTTCATTTTCACACCAGCTCTATTTTTGAGTGCTTGAGGTTGGCAATTTTACCAACGCCTCCCTCACCCTGCAGAGGGGAACTCCCAACAGTGCAACATTGACATCTCCTTCCACCCCATAGGGGGACCCCAAACACTGTGACACAGACAACTCCCCCAGCCAGGAGAGGGGTGGGGCCCAAACCCTCCCATCCGCTCATTCAGTGAAGGTGTGATTACCTGGCAAACTGTGGGCACAATGCCAAAGCCTGGGAAGGGCTGAGCCCTCATGTCCTGCCTCACCCCTTCCACTCAGCATTATATACGCCTCCCTCCTCCTAGTGCTTATCCTTCCTGGCTCCTTCTCCCTTATGCTGTACATAGGACTGGGCCCTTCCTAATTTTTCCTCAGACTTTGGGCAAAGGCAGAACACAAACAGAAGTTACATTCAGTACTTGTTACTGGCAAAGCTACCCTGACAGTCTCCAGCATTACTGGGGTTGCCATAGACCCCGGATGAACACACCTTCCTATCCCTTCAAGGGGCCACATGTTGTTGGCAAGCACGGACTAAACACCAGAGCGCGTACAATGTCACAGCGCTGCGCCATTCGCCGACACCCTCCACACCTCTGCAGAACACAACAAATGACCAGAGGCTGCAGCGGCATGGTCAGAAAAACTGGATTTTTTTTTCCCCTGTCGAATTTTCTGCTGTAAAAGAAACCCGGTTGAAAGATTTTGGTAAAAATCGTTTGACTTCCCTCAGACATTTTCTATATAAAATGAAAATTTTAATTTAGTTTCAATCTCAAATGCCATTTTATTTGGTCTTTTTTTAACTGAAAATTTTCTTATTGCTTAATTATGTTTCCCCTCCTCTTTTTGTCCTTTCCCCGTTTTTAACTGAAAAAAGGAGCAAAGTAAAAAAGTGGAAGAAAGTGGAGAAAAAGCACTCTTCAAACCTTTTTATTCTTTAAAAGAGTAAAATGTGTTATTAACTCAGTTACACTTTTTACTATTTAAATAGTAAAAAGATGTGAAAAAATAATTTTCCTTCCACATTCTTACTGGTTTCCAACTGGAATGTTTTTCTGTGAAAAATTTCATTTTCAATGAAACACTAATTTCCCATTAAAAGAAATTTTCACTAGAAACTTTTTCACCAGCTCTATGCTGCAGTCCTCACACAGGCAAAATTTACCACAGAGATATAGATAAGAAATGAGGCACTGCTTTTTTCTTATTTATAACCTTGTTACCTTTTGGTTTAACATACTAAATCAGAGTGAACTCAGGAGCCGGCAGAGACAAGCTATCATTTTAGAATAGGGCTGTAAAACTAACGTTCCTTTGGTATATAAGATTTATACAAGATGCCAGGTAAAATTTGGAATTCCAAATACTTCTTGAGGAGATGAGATTAGATGCTCTCTGGTTCTAATTCAACTCCCAGATAAAACCAATGAAAAGATTCCTATTGACGTCAGTGGAAATTGGATCAGGCCTTCTCTGAAGGTATAACATTCTTTGGCATATTAAAGATTATATACCTGTATCTCTGTGGAAACCTGATTGTTTCTAGATGGCTGCACCCTCTCACGCTCACAGGTTTTCACAACAATTTTTATGCAGCAGGACTAGGAAACTTTTACACCCTATATTTATGTTAACCAGCTGCACCATTAATATCCCCATTAAGGGAGGCAGATCTATGAATCTACACCTGCATTGACTTTGACCTCAGGTCAGGAGCCATTAACTCAGTGCATTATGAAAACCACGAAGGCTGAAGGGAAGCAATCCTTGGTAACTAGTTCGGAATGATAGCATGGTGGAAAATGGTTTTGTCCTGTCTGCACAGGCCATATGCAGTCAGGGCACTATTCATTACACGACAATCCACATATTGAGTTTGCATTGATTAGAACGTGTTTGCTGACAGTGGAGTTAGCAGGGTGAATAGGTTCTCAGCATAGTGCTGAGACTTGACCCTTTCGCTTTTTTGCTTTTATTATTGTTTCTGTATGAAAAGTCTGACAGAATCGATACAAAATAGCATTAAAAATAAACTGGTGTTGTATGGCTCTAGGAAATTATTTGTTTGATGACTTGAGTTTTGTTACCTTTCTTTCTCTCCTGATTTACAGGAGCTGTCCTGGAAGACACAAACTCAAGAGACGCTAGGTGTCAGTAAAGGATTTAAAAAAAAAAGCAACTGAAGGCTGAAAATCTGCAGAAATGACCTTCCACAAGACTGCAAATTACAGTATTAGCCATTGTTTGGCAATCAGTGGGATTTCCCAGACAAAGCACTTCTCCTGTACATGTTGTTATGAAAGTACGATTGTACTCTTCCATCCCACCGAGGAATTGACTGGAAAATCACAAATAACTGCCACTTCCACGTTTAACCAAAACTCTGTCCCTTTTTCACACATTCAAATGTTGTCTTGGGCTAAAGGTTTCTAGCATTCAGAGAAGAATCCTTTTACTACATCAACACACGATTTTGTTTGTTTCTGGACACTAGAAAGCTCTGCTGGACAATAGCTAAAGAGTGGGCCTTCGACCCTATGGAACATGCAGGTTCTATCTCTTTCCTCTACCCTTTGTCTGTCTTGTCTATTTGACTGTGAGCTCTCTGGGGCAGAGACTGTCTATTACTCTATGTTTGTACAGCACCTATCACAATGGGGTTTGTTCTTGGTCAGTTCCTATGAAGAACAGGAGAGTGTTCTCCTGTCAATTAAAAAACCAGCAATTAAACTGTCCTGATGATGGCCATGCTCCATGGTCACAGTGCATAAGTAGTTATGTTTTACCTGTACATTTTATTCCTTACACTAAGAGAATAAGGACATTATATGGGCCAAACTCAGTGGGGACTTCTAGTTAGTGGAACCAATCTGCTGTCCTGCTCAGCATGTAAATTATACCAAGGTTTAGAGTCACCCCCATTTATTACTTACATGTATCTGAGACCCACTTACATATTACCCCTGAATTTGTTCCACTGAGTGTATCGCTGGAGTGAGTACAAACTGAATAGCTGGAAAAGTAGCCAGCTAGGAGATATAAGAAGGTGTTAGTTAAAACAGGCCACTTCCTGCTTCAGCCTTATTATAAATGATAATTTACAAAATACCTAAAGTGTCTTACGCACTTTGACATAGCAAATCAAAGGCACAATCCCATATGGAGGAGCTTCCAGTGTAATTTTAGTCATGATGCAACGTGTAAGAGTAACACAACAAAGGGAGGAGAAAAGGTGAAAGGGAGGACAAGGGTTACAATAAGAAGATTACACGGTCACTTAGGTTCATTATGTACACGTCTTTGGGGTACTGCTGCTCCGTTATGGGGTTACTGATGGATGCAGGGGTGGTAAGGGAGAGAAATTGGGGCAGAAAGCATGCTGATGGGTGGGTGTCAAAGATAAAACAAAAGGGAAAAAATATATCAAGTCTGAAGTCAAAGTAAGTCTGGCTTTACAAAGTCAGCCCAGAACCTGGACTGAGCATGCTGCATGGCTCGCAGTGCAGGATCAGGGCTCCAGCCACTCAGACACCTTCCTCGAGGTACTTGTAGAAGTGTAAATATCGGTTTAAAAAGTTAACTGGTTAAACTATTGCAATTATATTGTTTAACTGGTTAACCATTAACTGAGGACACGCTGGCGTCCCTCTGGCCGGTGCAGGGTGGCTAGGGCTGGCGTCCCTCTGGGCAGCTGGTGCGAGGCAGCCGGGGCTGGGGTCCCTCTGTCTGGCCGGCTCGATGTGTCCAGGACTGCTCCGGCTGGCCTGGCGTAGCTCTGACTAGGGTCCCTCCGGCCGGCACAGAGCTGCTGGGGTTAACGGTTAAGGTCAGTTAACGGTAAGCCTAATGCTTACCAGTTAACCTTTTACATCTCTAGGTACTTGGTGTGTAAATTACATCAGCCTCGACTCCCTCAGACCTACTTCCCAAGGTGCCACTTAGACCATTTTACAACTGACTTCTGAATGACGCTGTGTCTGCCTCCAAAAGCCTCTGAGATGCTATCAAATCGTGTCTCCGATGCATATTGTTCATTTCCTCCAGCTGTGCTTTACAAATACTTGTGAATCGCTTTGAATATGCTGTCCCTATGGAATACATGATGGCGTGAGGTGATGTAAAAGTCTTACCAGCCGGGGTTTGGAATGGCTACATTACTAATGACTAGCAAAGATGAGTGAGCTATGCAAGTTGCCCCACGCGAACGCTGATAAAACCTTTATGTCCCCTTGCACCTCCAGGAATTGTGTAAATGCCACACACAGCAGATCACAAGTCAAAGGGCACTTTTCACTTCTGCAGCTGTGTCACCCCCAAGCCCCAGCTGAGGGAGTTTGGAATAACTCCAGAGCTTTGGGCCCAGCCCCTTGGCTTGCTGGCCTGCAGCCTATTCCCGCATTCTGCACATTTTTGATTCCTTAGACAAAACAAACCTCCTAAGTTAACATCTGATTCCCTTCAGTGCTGCTCTGTGCTGTGGATGGACTCAGTTGCTCTCAGCCATCCATGCTGACAGCAGTAAGGTAGGTTCATATGAGCTTAAGCTAAGACATTGCTCCAGCTGATGCTTGGCTCTCAGAGGGGTTTTCAGGGAATGCAGAGGGCACAAGGAAGATGCATCCCCTGAGCAGGGACCTGACATATTTACAGTCCCTACACTGTGCAATGGACAGCCCCACTGGGGTGCCAGGTACCCCAAAGAGGGGTGGCACAGCTGTGCTCTTCCCCCTCCACCCCAGCCTGCAGAGATGGCTTGCTCAGGTGGGGTACTAGAAAGCGTATTGCATGCTCCAAAGGATGGTGTAATAACAAGAGCACCTGGAGCTTCCCTAGGGCAGTGGGGCTGGGTGAACCTGTTCCTAACCAGCGTACGCTGGCTCATTATATGAGCTCTCCTGCCCCGCTTTTACCTGCTGCTGCTCTTAGCCTGCCCACCCTGTAATCATTGGCTGGCTGATTGGTCTGATTCATTTTCACTCGACATGCTACAAGCCCAGGGCTTAATTCATGCCAGTGCAGAGCCCCAGCACCTCTGGGCCTGCCACATCAGTTGTGAACGTAAAAAGATTGCTTAAGCCCTGGCACCTCTTTCATTACAAATTAAGCACTGCATAAGACATAAAACAGACCCACTTCTGCCACCGTGTGTACGGCAACCTGATGAATGATAATGGTTGGGCAGCTGTCCAGTAGGGACGTCCTGGTTTATCTTAATTTACCCACTCAAAACCATCTAGCAATGCATGTAGCTGACCCGTGTGAGCATGTGGTCTTAGAACGGTTTCTCTGCTCTCTCCTCCATTCCTTCCAGCTGTTTGCTAAATCTACTTGGGCCATATCTGTTCGATTAGAAGCTCTAGGGCAGTGGTTCCCAAACTGGGGTTTGCAAACCCCTGGGGGTTCGCAGAATGTTATGGGGGTTCACCAGAAAAATTTCACTCATGGCGGCCAGAGGACCCCGGGCGTTGGAGGCAGCAGGTGGGACCTGGTTGCAGGGCAGACAGCCCGAGCCCCAGGGAGAGCGGGGCCGGGCAGTTGGGGCTGGCAGCCCGAGCCCTACCCCTGTCACCAGGGGAGCCGGCCACCTGGACCCCAGCGCTCTGCACGGGGCTGGCAGCCCGAGCCCCAGGGAGAGCGGGGCCGGGCAGTTGGGGCTGGCAGCCCGAGCTCTACCCCTGTCACCAGGGGAGCCGGCCACCTGGACCCCAGCGCTCTGCACGGGGCTGGCAGCCCAAGCCCCAGGGAGAGCGGGGCCGGGCAGTTGGGGCTGGCAGCTCAAGCCCCGGCGGTCAGCAGGACCTGCAGCCTGCGCTCAGTGGAGCTCAGTTGACCGGAGCAGTCAATGGAGTCCAGCAGCCGGAGCCCCACGGAGTGCGGAGGAAATTTAAACAAATCCCTGGAAATATTCATTTTTAAGAGGAGGTTCACGAGATTTCACAATTTAGTGAAAGGGGTTCGCGGGCTGTTAAAGTTTGGGAACCACTGCTCTAAGGGGAAGGGACTGAATTTTACTCTGTGTTTGTACAGCACCTAGAACAACAGGACAAGGCTCTGACTGGGGCTCTCCAGGTGTTACTGGAATACACAATCATAATGGCAGAACATTTTATGTCTGGTCTTCCAGGTTCTGAAAAGATTTACATGGAGGGAGGATAAGTCTCTCGGTCTACGGCTTCCAGCTCTAGAGCAATTCCACTTCCTCTTTCAGGATAGCGGAAAATTGTGTGCTCAAAGCACTGTTCCCTCTAAGCTGTGCGCGTGTGCACAAACATCCTAAACCCTGCGCACACGGCAAAACACCGCCCACACAACAATTTGCACAGAAGAAATTTTTTGCGCACACGGCCTGTCAAAAATTAGAGGGAACATTGGTCCAAAGTATAAGGCATTTCCTTTGTGAGAATAGCTCCTCTGCTAAGAAGGAGCTCTGTATCAAGAGCTACCACTTTCCTGGGGGTCACGGTTTCCCGTGTGCTCTCCCATGAGAAAGGAAGTGGAGCTATTCCTTATTGCCCTTCAATGGCTGCTCTTTTCCAAGAGAGTCCAGGAACGCATATTACCTTGCTGCTTTAGGAAGCACCATCAGCTCTTGCTCACACTGACAAAACGGTATCAGCACGGCAGGCTGTGTAGAGAGACGTTTGCACATTCATCATCACTCTACACCCAAAGATGCAGCAGACAAATGGTGCATGCTCCAGCCCATTGAGATCATGCACACTATATCCTGCACATGGTTCCATTTATTCCTGCTAGTGCTGACCGCAGAACGATGGAGGGAATCCCACAGGTCTTATTTAGGCAAACTCCCCTTGGCCGGCAAAGCACCAAAACTCAATCCCGGCCACAGAACACATCTGGCACGGGGAAAACCTGACAACTCTTAAGGCAAATCACTTCACCAATCAAAGGGAGTCATTCCCAACAGAGTAAACAGGATGGGAGAAAAGGGAGGAAGCCAAAAACCAGCTAAGAGCCAGTTGAAAGAGACGGGATTTGCAGCAATCCAGAAAGGCAGATCAGGATGCTGCCCCCCGCTGAGAGCTCTCAGCTGAGAAAGCTGTGTCCCTGGACTGGTCCTGTCCAAATAGCAGGATCAAAAGCAAACACCTCTTGGTTGACTTTAACTACCAGGCAGGTAATTAGGTGCAAGATTAAGAAAGGCTTTGTTGTATCAGCAGGCAACAGACACTGTGGAAGGCTAAATTTCACCCTATCCTCGGGACCAAGGAACAATTCATCTTGGCAGCGGGATGAATTTCAGGCCAAGGTAGCCGCGACATTCTGCATCTGTTTTAGTTCAGGATCAATTTCAAATGAAGCAAATGATGGTGTCCGAGCTTCCCTGTCCTAGTCATTGCTAGGACACTGCCTCTGAGAACTAGGAAGACAGGCAGAGCCAGTTGCGCATGAAAAACAATAACGTTGTGGTGGAAGAAGTCAATGTACACTGAGTTCCAGTTCTGCACATTACACAGCAGATGCTATATCCTGCCTTCTGTTCCTCGGCCCCACCGGATTCACAGCCATTACTGAGAGAACAGGCTTCTTTGATTGCTACTGCACTCCCTTCTCGAGTGAGACCAGCTCTCACCGTGTTATTTGTGAGTCTCATGAAATTTGGTGCTTAAAGCCCCAGCTTCCGGTGGCATTTTAATATGTGAGACTCTCAGCTTATAAAATAAAAACAAGTTTCCAGACCTCATGGCTGCAGAGAAGCTTGGAAACACGATCCCTAATGGCTCAAAACCCAGAAGACACATTAAAAATGTGT